AAGTCCAAGACTGAAAGTTCTGTTTCTGTCATCCATGCTGAGAGGCTAACAGATGCTATAGGATTTATCTTGAATCAGTAAACTCAGTCCAGATTTACAAGAGATTATCACTTCAAGAACGTCTGTTCTGGTTGCTCAAAGGAAAGCCATCCTGCTTGTGTACAGTAGAGGCTCAGGTATAAAATCTGGTTAAATTTAGGCAGTCACAGTGTAATTGCACTTCATCATTTCAGTTAATTTAAGTTTCATGCATCTAAGATTAATGGTATATTCTGAAGTGGGAAAACGTTTTTAACAACTTCTTAAAATAAGAAATGTGGTTTCTATCGGCTATCAATTTACATCATTACATCATTGCTAACATTAATCAACACTTTCTATGTGCTACAGACTAACTAGTCTGAATCCTTTTTACATATTATATCATTAAAATGAACAAGAAGCTTTTGAGGTATATAATATTATTCTCATTTTAAGAGGAATAAACTTAAACCAGAAGCATAAACACCTCTAGTCCAAGATCACATAGTTGAAAAATGGCAGAGCTGGAATCTAGCTGAATATTAATATGATTTGGTCACCTTAGATTTGTGAGCATGAAACTCATTCTAATTTGGAGGGGGAGGAAAGAATGGCTTTCCTTACCAATTATTTTTTTGCATTTGTTTACATATTTACTTCTTTTGCTTTATGTGGGTTAAAAGTATAATGGCATTATGAGGTTAAAATCATTGTCTGAATTCATCATTTAGATTTTCCCCTTCAATTAAAAAAAGTGTATAATATACAATTGTATGTTATAATGAAAATAGACTTTCATACACATATCATATATAATAAGAGAGGAATATGCTAATTATCTGTTACGCCGTAACATCACGACCAATCTACAAGTGGCAGAGAGCTACAGGAGGGCAGGGCAGTGGGCGGAGAGCTACAGGGGGGCGGGGCAGCGAGCTACAAGCAGTGGAGAGCTACCAGCGGTGGTGGGTGGATGGCCAGCTGAGGCAAGCGGCAGTGAGTTACTTGCGTATGGATTCGTGCGCAGGGCTACTAGTAATGTAATAAAAAAGTAAGTTAATACTAGCTCAACTGCAAATCTTGCCTTTAGTTGTAATATAATTTTTCATCCAATTTTATATACTGGGGAAACAGACTATACCCAGGAGACATTGGGAAAGCTGTGGAAGGTTTTGAAGAAAGGGATTCCAATGAGAAGGCTGTTATAATCATTTAAACAAGGGATACGAATCTTGGCAGGTGGGTCAATGACATGGGGAAAAGTGACTAATTTATAAAAGAAGTATCAACAAGGATTCCTCAATAACAAGATATATGAAGAGAATGGAAGATATTATAAATGCCTCCTGAATCCTGAGTCCAGGTAAATTGAAGAATGGTGGAGAGAGAAAGGTCTTGGGAGAAAAATGACAAGTTCAAGGTGGGACATAGACTCTAAAGCAGTGGTTCTCAACTTTGGCTGCACATTAGAATCACCTGGGAATCTTTTTAAAATCCTGATTTCTGGGCCTCATCCTCCAGAAATTCTGGGGCCACAACGGCAGCAGCAGGCAAGCAAGCTACCAAGGACAGGAGTGTAAGAGTGAGCACCTCCTGCCAACCCAGAACCTCTTGGGTGGGGCCACAACATTAGTAACAAAGAAACAGAATTTCCGGAGGACGAGGCCCAGGAATCAGGATTTTAGAAAGATTCCCAGGGGATTCTAATGTGCAGCCAAGGTTGAGAACCACTGCTCTAAAGGGATTCAGGACATCCACTTTGAACGTATCCAGTGCTTAGATAGGGAGGAAGGCTGAAACGTTAGAGAGGTCAGGAGTGTGTGTGAGATTTGGTAAGATGCCTTGGCACTTTTCCAGGGAAGGGCCTCTGAGGTGGTTAGAATGGGCTTGGCCAGGTGGGGGCAGCAGAGCATCACCAATGGCTGTGGACAGCGAGCCAGGACAGGGACACTGACAGGGAGCTACTGTTTGGACTGAGCCTTTGGATATGTTCACATTTTGGGGGTGGGAAGAATTAAAGCCAGCTAAGGACCCAGAGGTAAGGGGACCCTAGGGCGGGGGGATCACCTGGACGGCAATGTATGGAAGCGAAAACACGGGAAGATTTCTAGTAGGTCTGGAGAAGGTAGGTGTGAGAACAGAAGCAAGTGACTAGTGACTTTGAAGACAGTGACTTTAGAGGCGTACCGAGGACAATGATAGATGAAAAGAGATCAAGTGGGGAATGAGAATGGAGATGGAGAAATGCATTATTTTTTTCAGGTCTGTTATTGAAGGAAGCATCGTGATAGGAAGGTAGTTTGAGGGGAGGCAGAATAGATGGAGGGATTTTTTTCCCCATTGTGAATTATTCTTGTAGATGTTTATGAGTTGAATGGAATTATCTCCTGAAGAGAATAATTGGAGGTGCCAATGAGAGAGAAAAGTGAGGGGATCATTATGAAGCGACCTCTCAGAAGAGCTGGGATATAATCAAGAGTTCTAGGGGACAGCTTGGGTTGCAGGAGGCTAGGAAGGAAGAAGATAAAGATGGGAGAGATTTTATGGATCTTTATGAAGAACGCCAACTCCATATAAGCAAGCTGTGTTCTGAATGTTTGTTATTTGGAAAGTTTAAACCATTTCCTCGGAGAAACACTGTGCTGTAGTGGATGTGATGCGGGAAGTGGGATGATTCTGGAGAGAGCCCTTCAGACAGCCCCTCAGTTCTGAATCACCTTCCGCTTTATAAATGTGAATATCACCCAGAGTTACATCATTCCTCTCTTCACTTTTACATTCTCTTCCTCAGAGATCATTTTTACTTTTATGGTTTAAAATAGTGTTAGCTATAGAGAAATCTTTATCTCATTGTTACAGGAACTCTTTAGCGTTGAAGTATTGGCTGTTTAGCAGCCAGTTTTTAACACAGTGCCTTAATATCTTGGGTACTTTTCCCAGAATCCAAGTGTCTTTTTTTAAAAGTATATATTTTTATTGATTTCAGAGAGGAAAGAAGAGGGAGAGATAGAAACATAAATGATGAGAGAAAATCACTGATTGACTGCCTCCTGCACGCCCCACTGGGGATCAAGTCCACAACCAGGGCATGTGCCCTGACTGGAAATCGAACTAGGGACCTCTTGGTTCCTGGGTTGACACTCAACTGCTGAGCTTTTCCAGTCGGCCGTTTTTTTTTTTTCTTATTCACTGATTTCTATCTCTTTTGACCTCAAAGTTCTCTCTCTGGTTGTTAAAAAAACTTCTCTAGCAGTCTCTTCTGTCTGTATTTGTGCAGTTGCTGTGCTGATTTTCCCTCTGGGTATGGGTATATTGTGCTGGTTATATTTTGTGTACCCTGAAAGGCTTAGCTCAGTGATGGCGAACCTATGACATGTGTGTCAGAGGTGACACGCGAACTCATTTTTTTGGTTGATTTTTCTTTGTTAAATGGCATTTAAATATATAAAATAAATATCAAAAATATAAATCTTTGTTTTACTATGGTTGCAAATATCAAAAAATTTCTATATGTGACACGGCACCAGAGTTAAGTTAGGGTTTTTCGAAATGCTGACACACCAAGCTCAAAAGGTTCGCCATCACTGGCTTAGGTGATGTGCTCCATATCAAGTTTTGAAAGGTTTCCCCTTTCTTCTTAAATAAAATCTTTTCAAAGCACTCATTTCAAAGTGGTTACCTATCCGTTTCTACTTGTACAGAAAATACCGAAGGGAATCCTGGAGAAATCATGATTAGACTAGTAAAATGGGAAGGCAGTGAGAATGACCTAATCCAGCTCTTTGACATGTGAGAAAACCCAGGCACGGAGTGGCTGAGTGACTTGTTGAGTAACACAAAGGAAAAGGAAACATGTGGAGGGAGGATAAAGGAAAGGCCTGCATGGAGTGTGCTGATCTGGATGAGTGGCACGGAAGATAACTTAGAATTTATTTTCAGTTCATGGCTATTTTGACCACAAGAGAAAAAGTGGTCAGCCTAAACTGGAAGGTCAATGGGAAGTTTTAACAAAGAGAAAGTCTTGTCTGCAAGACATTCACTGCCCAGCCAATTGAAAAAAAAAAAGTCACCTACAATTATTCCCGCCATCATTGCTTGATTTCTCACCTCAAGGCATAACCACACCACTATGTCTTGGCTTCTCTCTCACCCATCATTTGCCATTTCTGAACATCCACTGCCCAATGCTCTGTGGACCTTTTCTGCTCTCTTTGGGCTGAATTACTTCTTTTATTGTTACTTTTTTATTAATTCATTGGCAGAATGTTTTTTCCACATTTTTATAAGAACCTTAACTCTAAAAGAAGTATTTATTATACATGTACTTTAACCCCAAAGGAAACCAGAAAAAAGTAAACTGGAACAAGAAATTAATTTTTAATTTACAGGGATATTAAGAGATGAAGTATGGTTAGAAAAAAATTTCCTGGAGTAAATAACCACACTGCTGGTCAATCCTTGGCCTTCATGTGGTTTGTCATAATACCAATTTAAATTCATTTTTTTTGAAAATGTTCTGTGTTCTTTTAAATAAATATTTTTCCTAAATTTAAGCAAAATGAAAAAGTCCATTCAAGGTAATAAATATTAAGAGTGCTTACTATTTGTAAGGCAGTGTGGTAGGCCCTGAATCGGATAATAAAATGAGTAAGTCGCTGCGTTTGGTAGCAGGATACATGTCTTTGTATTGCAAAAAGTTTGCACGGGCAAGAGTTTGGGGTCCAGGAGGGAATCTTGATTATTACTACACTCTTGCCCCTTCATCACCAGCAGGTCATGAGCCGAAGATGAACTAGGAACTGGAAGGCCAGTGTGGCTAGAACTGGCCAACTAGGGACAACACAGTAGGAGGAAATGTAGAGAGCTAAAAAGTGGAGAGACTTTGGGTTTTACTCTAATGAGAAGCCACTGGAGGATTTTGTTGAGCAGAGGAGTGACGTCTGATTTACAGTGTAGGTGGAAAATGACTGAAGTTGGTCATGGCCAGAAGCAGGAATCCAAGGAGCCACCACGTTGTCCAGTTAGACAATTGTGGAGGAGGAAGTGGTGAGAATGGCCGAATTCTGCCTATTTTGCTGGTGGAACCATCAGGATTTGCCGAAGGACCAAAGGTGTGACCGGACAGAACGAGGCCAGGTGGCCGTCAGCTTTGGAAACCGGCCACACCCTCAGCATCACCTTGGCACAAGGTGGAGATCTGTAAACGTCCTGATTCTACTTTTGCATCTCAGACTAATCAGAATCTCCAGCATCCTGGCCCTGCAAACAATACTTTTAAAATGCCTCGCAATGATTTCTCTGCAGCCAATTTGACTCGAGGTAATGAAACTGGCCCCGGGCTCACTTGAATGACATGAAAGAGGTCACACCTTCAGGAGACAAATCAGGAGCCCAGCACCATGCGAAGTACGAGGGTTGGTAGGCTCCTGGGTGGAAAGACCAATCCCACTCGAATCCCTCTGGCATCGAGGTAAGCATGGCGGGCTTCCTGGAGGAGGCGGATTTCGCTGAAGGCTTTCTCAGGCCTTTATCAGGAGGGCAGCGAGGAAGATGAATGCAAAAGAGGATGGTGTGTGGCTGTGGGGTGACAACTGGCTCAGGCCTATCGTGTAGTTGGCGTCCTCTCTGACCCGGACGCTGCCCTTCAGCGGCTCCGACC